CTTCACGCCGAAGCCTGGGCTGAAATTCTGCACCTATATGGAAGATGAACGTGGGAATCGACCGCATGAATTTAAGCCATTCTTATCTGTCGTTATCATTGATACCACCATTTTATCATTTATCACTGGTGATATCACAAAATTGGATCATTTTTGACATACAGTAAGGAATGTACTGTAGAAAACGCTGTGCGAGTTCTTACCGCTCTATCTCTTATAGAATGTGATCTACAGGCTTTTTCGGTTCAATTGCGCATTCGGTGCAGTAGATAGATGCTCTTTCAAAAAAAAAAAAAATTCACCGCTCTATAAATTGTGAATGAACGGAGTTGTCGACAGGAGTTTCAAAGATGAGCTGAACACTTCTGTTTTCTGCGTAAGACATAGAAATCCAGATCCACAAAGATGATCGATCTAAGGTGCGAAACGGCGCAAACGCGTGCTCGAGCATCTTTCCATCAGAGTCCACACGCCCGCGAACGATGCGCGTGCATAGGCTGTTGCCTCCCTATCGAAGTCTTTTTGAATTTTTTTCATGCTCTACTCTATTTCTTGCTATCTACAACAGCTCACAAAAACGCGTGATTTTTCCAAAATTCACCAATGCTTATGTTTCTTCTGGAAAGAAATCCGCAGCTATACTTTAGTGCGCTATAATTTACAAGAACTGTACTATCGAATATTACTTATCAGTATCCTCTATGTTAGATAGGCGCTGCGTTACATCCTCGCAAACAGACCTCCGCAGAAGAATTTGAGAAAACTGGAAACGGAATCAAATTGAGAATTTGTTCATTCTGAATGGAGTTATGGCGTTGTGTAGTTTGCGTGATTCGCGTGATTCCGCGGAAATGCCGGAATGTCGCAAAACTCCCAGAACGTTGCGGACTTTCGCAAACCCCCCGGAATTTCACGACATACAAAGAAAATCTGTATTTTTGTGAGCTGTTGTAGATAGCAAGAAATAGAGTAGAAGCATGAAAAAATTCAAAAAGACTTCGATAGGGAGGCAACAGCCTATGCACGCGCATCGTTCGCGGGCGTGTGGACTCTGATGGAAAGATGCTCGAGCACGCGTTTTGCGCCGTTTCGCACCTTAGATCGATCATCTTTGTGGATCTGGATTTCTATGTCTTACGCAGAAAACAGAAGTGTTCAGCTCATCTTTGAAACTCCTGTCGACAACTCCGTTCATTCACAATTTATAGAGCGGTGAATTTTTTTTTTTTTTTGAAAGAGCATCTATCTACTGCACCGAATGCGCAATTGAACCGAAAAAGCCTGTAGATCACATTCTATAAGAGATAGAGCGGTAAGAACTCGCACAGCGTTTTCTACAGTACATTCCTTACTGTATGTCAAAAATGATCCAATTTTGTGATATCACCAGTGTATAAATGATAAAATGGTGGTATCAATGATAACGACAGATAAGAATGGCTTAAATTCATGCGGTCGATTCCCACGTTCATCTTCCATATAGGTGCAGAATTTCAGCCCAGGCTTCGGCGTGAAGCGAGTTGAAGCGAAAATGCCATTTCAGGTAAGAACTGGCAGCAATGGCATGTGCCGATGAGAAATCGATCGATTGCTGCAGCGAGGGATCTACCAATTGACCGAACAATAGAACTAGGAAATCCTGTAGATTACTTATAATGAGAGAAAGAGCGATAGAAATTCACACAGCGTTTTCTACACTACTTTTCTTACCATGTGCCAAAAATGATGCAAAAAATATGATATTATCAGCGATAAATGATAAAATGCTTATATCAGTGATAAGGGTAAATAAAAACTGCCCATTTTTTCGCGATAGTTTTCGATAATGGGAACTTCGTACCAGAACCTCCTATTCGCGATTTACACCGTGATAGATGTTCACAAAAGCCTTAACATAGAAAATAACAAGGTATCACCATATGTCTACCGTGTCATTATGAATTACGGACATATCGTATACCAGAAGATTCGTCTCATCAAGCTGAAGCCAAATCTTCACGCAGATTACAAATAAAGCTGTTTTAAAAGAAGTTATAGCTAAATCCCGCTTATCCCGCAAATCCCGCAAATCCCGCGAGGTCGCGAATCCCGCAAACCCGCGGATCCCGACAATCCCGCAATTTTGGACAAATTCTACCGCTGCAACTGTAGTGAAAAAGCATTGCATTCTGTGCAAACTTGCCATTGCCATTTCCACTTTTATTATTGGGTGTTTCCTTTCAATGCTGGCTTCAAAAAGCACAGGCTGATCACCTATAACAAGCAATACTGTTTAAGGGCCAGCCTCAGCGATTACTTAGAGTAAGGTGATAGCAAACCTGAGAAGTTCGATTGAGATTTTTCACTACATAAATAGAACATCAACTATCAAGCAAACTTCGACTTCTTATTTTCCTGCCCATTTGCCACTGTGATTGCGCGATAAAAGAGCACTAATTATATAAGGAGCTTTGAAGGAGTGCTTCTCTCAAATACGCTTTAATTTACTTGATACAGCCACCTTTTGCACATTAGAAGTATTGAGAAAAGGAAAGGAGATCAGCTACGCTGAAAAAGTAAAAATGGCAATGAGGGGAAATAAGGGCGTGCGAGTTGATCATTTTTCATAAAATTTTTTTACAAAGCGTAAAAGTGTGAGTACGTGCGCTCCAAGCTAAATTGCAAGTAACACTTGGCAAAGCCGGTAACACCGCAACACCCCAGACAGTTGCCTAAAACGATGGCTGAACCCATCTATTTTGGCAAAATTCAACGAATTTATGTTTGTTTATCTACGTAGTATGCATGCATTTATCTTACCTAGTACGTAATCAGACTTCCAAAGCAGTGCCTGCTTTTGATGCCAGCCCTTGGTACGTTTCTAGATGTGCGCAATGGTTCTTTGGAACTATGTTCCGTCCACACACAGATTTTGTAAGAATTCAGAATCCAGCCAAAATTATAGTCCTACGGTGCTGCTTGCATGATTTGTATCCCATCTGTCACAGATGGGATCTATGTATGAAACTAACGAAATATATTGTGTCAACATTATTTTACGAATCTACTTCTGTGAACCATGTCTGGCCCTCAACTACGAAACTAAGAAGTTGCGATTGAGTCAGAGACAATTACCAATAACATGCTATTTTCATTGGAAACATCGGACTGTCAAACGCGTCATAATCTTAAACTTGCTTCTACAGTCAGCAAGCTAAAACAACAGTGATAGCTTGAATTCTTCTAAAAGTTGGATTTTCGTGAGAAGTATTTCACTATTTTCGAATCCTAACGCCTCCCAGCTAGGAAAAAAAGGTTGAAACATACTGATAATAAGCAAAATCTGTTAGAAATGATTCTGAGATCGAAAAGAAAATCCGAAGAGAAGATTTGGCGAGCATTCCGTGTTTTCTCGTGACAAATTCATTCAAAAGTGGTTTCAGCCGATTCTACCCACTGCACCAGAATGGATCTTGCTTTATCTTCAAGAAAACGAGATTGTACCACCTAACCGCTGCTCGTAAGACCACAGGCACTTTACTTTGACGGTTTGGTGTTTGTGACTGTTCGAGAGCAGTAGCATTTCCGGTCAATTACTCGTTCTAAGCACTGATCACGTATAATCGACTGCTGATCAATTGTTGACTAATTGGGAACACGGCCAGATACACTAGTGGCTTCATAGTTCGGTGACTATCTCAATGCTACCACCTCTATGCGGCTCAGTTCCCTGCAAATCAGAAAGAGTTAGAACAATTATTGAGCAGCATTTCGGTACATTTTGAGTGGAAAACTACGAAGTACATTTGAATAGAGATGAAAGTGGCACGACGTTAGTTAACTAAAGTAGTCTGAGTCTTTTGTTTCTTTGTTGACATGTAACTGAACTAATTACCAATTCAGACTGAAAAATAGGAAAGGAATATGCGTATCAACAATGTAGCAAATCCATTCTCTTAGAAACTCTCCCTTTATATTCTTTGTTGCCTAAAGTTGCTCAAGGTTTTGGAAAGGGTACTGACGAAGAGTACTTTCGTCAAACCACACACCGTAACTTTCTCGAGAAGCAAATGTGAGCTTCGCTCTAAAGTACTGCACATTAGGCTGTGAATAGTGCAGACAGCATGCAAAGACAAACACCATATTTTAGTGCACAACCATGCTATTAGCTAACCTAATAACCGTAGTTGGGTGGCAGATCGTAGATTGCCCGATAAACGTCTTACAGCCAAGGTGTAGAAGAATTTGTGTTCTGAAGTGGTCAGAATCGTAAACGTTGTGGTAGAACACTGCCTCTAAACATTGATTCTGAAACTGGAAATTGTTAAGTTATATCCAGCAAGCATTCAGGTTAAGACAGGCCATGTAGAAATAAACGTTATGGAAGCATCCATAGCTAGAAAGTGAATACTGCTGCGGCGCAGGAGCTTCACAGTGTCAGTAAGTAGTCATATTCCAAAATACTTATTTGATTTCAGCGTTGAATTAAGTCTTATAATAATTAAAAACAAATTAGTGATTAACAAATGCCCTTTTGTTTACAGGGAGAAGATGATATGATGTACTTCGAACAAAAAAGCACTTACAGGTTCCTAGGGGCAAGGTTTACTATAACGACCACTATCACGAAAATGATTGAAAGAGTGAGCAGAGCCAACCATCGCCGCGGGATTAATAGCCTGAAAGAAGGCAGGATAAGCTAGTTTGTCACTTGTATAAGCACAAAGGACAGTACTCCTTCCACTACTTGACAAGCAAACGACCAGATAAATTTATTATTTTTAAGTATTGCGCCTAATTTATCAAAAGCCTAGATAAATTTATTATTTTTAAGTATTGCGCCTAATTTTTCAAAACTTGATCAGTCGATTAAACAGAAGACCATCATCTTGATCAGTCAATCAAGCATCAGGAGACAAGCGCTTGTGACTATTTTGAATGTACATATAGTCCAATCAACCTTGTGCAGTAGACACCCTCGAAAACGTAGGCAATAGCAAAGATGGACGTCGCAATCAAAGATCTTATCATATCAACCAAACTGATTTACAAAGAGCATCCAAAAAGGGAGAACGATGACGCAAAGGTTGAGAGAATTTATAGTGTCTCTTTCGCCATCCTCCCGTAAGTAACTCCGCGATACGCAGCAACGCGAACTTGCTTTGTACTTAAATCTCTCCTTGTAAGTTTTCAAAGACATTTGGCTTTTTATTGTGTTCTATTTTCATTTTGAATGCAGAGTTCCTGATGCTGGCGCTTTATTAGCGTTGCCCACGTACAACCGAAACTATATTCAACTCAAAACAGATTTAGAAATCGCCAGTATCATAAGGTAAGTGTCCTGCTCAATCTTATGTTTGATATTGCTGGATGTTTTACAAAAATTGGAGCAAAACATTAGAAATCGCCTACTATAAGGTAAGTGTCCTGCTCAATCTTATGTTCAATATTGCTGGATGTTTTACAAAGAATTGGGGCTTGCACCACCTCCTAAAGCGGAATACTCAAACAAACACCAAAACATTGTAGAATTTATCCTCGTCTTCATCGAATATGTTTGTAGCGCGCCTAGTCCTATACACAAAACGCCTTCAAAAAAGTGACAGAAACGAGTATAAAGTGAGACAACATTCAAATGAAGCACTCGACCAACTACAGTCTGCCCTAATCGGGATCAGGCCTAACTGCCGGCTGAATTTGCGCGCTCGCAACGCTAGGGGTCTGCGCTGCATACGCGCGCTGTCGCAGAGAGCGAAGAGATTGAAGAGAGCGTAGACAAACAGGCCATAGGCGTGACGCAATACCCTCGCGACACGGGTTCCCGCCATGCCAATTTTGGCCTGGTTCGGATTGGTGCAAAGTGTAGTGCAAAGCATTCCAATCAGGACTCATTTGTACCCTCTCCCTCCTCTCTGAAGTACTTATGGAAAAGCCACAAAGCATCCTTTGTCACAGACTTCCAAACTGCGCAGTAAGTTTCCATGATTGGATACCCATTATAAAATTAAATCGCATTTGCGAATAACGCCCCAGCCCACGCTAGAAATCTGCGCTACAGAAGTTATCGTAGTTACAGCGCATGCGCAGTCTCATCGCAAAAACATCAAGCCCCTGTCCCTTCGCAATTTCTACTTGAAACGCCGCACCTTTTCGTAATTTTAGCATTCCTAATGCAATCATTTGCGGATTGAACCAACATAGAGGGCATACAAAGAAAACTATTAGGGTGATTCAAAAGTAATGGGGCACCTTGATTTTTTTTTAAGATTCTTCAAGATCTCTTTCTGATTAGCTATGAAAAACCAGCAGTTTGAATGCCTTTGTATAAAGTGACCTTCGCAGGTTATCTTGAAAGCACCTTGCAGCACCTCACCGACATTTCTTCGAGTGGCGCTTTAAAGAAGTCAGACAGACTTTTTTGAACGCCATCTGAATTTGTGCTGCTGCACCTGAAAGTCCTTCGACATATGGCACAACATTCGAAAGAGCTTTCCAAGTTTTTTCTAATGCTTACTCAAATATTTAAAAATTGCCCATTATTTCATACAAAAAAGGCACTTTATTCGAGAAAGTGTGGTGTTTGGCGCAGATTTTCAGACTAAAATTCATATTTTGGCCCATAATTTTTTTGAAAATGAGGAAAATCGAAGAAATTTGCATATGTCAGGATAGAGCGTAAAAAGCGCTAACAGAAAGCAACTGTTAAGGTTGAGCTTATTTGATTACCTTGATGAAAGAATGAGTAATATGTCTCCTGATACCCAATGCTATATCTTCTGTTCTAAAGCCTTGGGACCACCGAGCTATCGTGGATTTGGTGACAGCCCCCTCACCCATTGTTGCGCAGATATCTTTGGTAGGCTCACTCGTTCTACTGCGGCGCTGCTGCTCAAAGTTCAGAATTACTCAAAGTGATAAGCTTTAACTTTAAGCGCTTATAAAAATAACGCCATCTGACAGTGCCCAACTATAGACCTCGATCAGAAGGTTTTGTTATGTACTAACATCTGCCAAAACTTGGACATCCAATTAGCTTTTCTATTTGAGAAAACTGCATTTATTCTCTAGGTGCCCCATTACTTTTGGATCACCCTAATAGATGATTTGAAGAAAATTCATGCGGTAATCTCCTCTGGTCTCATATGGCAATGTGCCTTCAGAACGTAAAGTCGAAAAACTCGACAAAGAGTGACAAATGCGAGGGTAACACGTCTCTTCTACTGTCAAGAAGTTTTCTGTGCGAAATGATTTGAAGGAATAGAAAATTATCCCGGTAAGGTAAAGGATTGAGCGTTTGAATGAACTAGTTCAGTTTGCAACCCTAAACAAGGCCAAAAGAACCATTTTTGGCATCCGCTCATCTTCTTTCCATTGGAAAAGCGGTTTTGCGTTGACTTTCTGCCAATTAAAATGGCGTTCGCCGTTATAATAAGACAAGATTAGATTGCTTGAATAAAAGTGGAGGTTCCTAAACAAGCTGGCAGGACGTTCTGCACTGATGACTGCTGAACTAAATTAAATGCTCAACCATACCGTATGCAACCTAACTGCTCCACCTAGACTAAATCCCACTGCATGAAGAGGCTAATAAGTAGGTCCAACGTGTTTTCTGCAGACAAAACATACAGGCAAATACCGTCAAAACTGCAAGACTTGACTGAGAGGTACATCAGTCATTGTACATCACAGACCCCTATTACTAGGGGCGGTATTTATCAGTATCCTGTACACAGACCCCAACCCGTTCGGGTAGCTACTAAGGCGAAGAGCACGCCAGCAGCGTGAGCGGGCGCATATCAAAATTGCCTGCTGGTGCCAAATTTGTGTGATGCAAGCACATAAAACCCCATTGTTTTTTCCTTTCCGTCCTCAGGCATAGTTTTTTTTACTCATATGCACTTCAGTGATCACATCAACATGAAAGTAAGATAGGAAGAACGGAGTCTTTTTTTCTTGGAAGTGCTAAAAACCGCCTATTCGTCCCAAATATTAGTGACTCGTTGTTATTGTACTGTAAAGCAACTCATGGCACTTGGATAGGTCAGAAATTGGAGTAGCAATAAATAAACCTTATTTTTGACTCAATGAAAACAATATATATCAAATTTTACAAAATATTGATTATTTTCATTTTCATTTTCATTTATACGCTCAAGGCGTTCCATAAAAAACACACCGAGAAGTTAGTAATACAGCGGAATAAACAAAAAATATAAACGAATGCAGACATCATCATGTCAGTCCGAGTCTAATCCTAGTCAGCCTAATGTAAGTAAGATGAAACGGATTGCATCAAATATGTTGTTAGGCTGATAAATATGTATACAAATGTAGGCATTGATAGGCATGATACTAATTATCACAAATTCCTATCACTATCGTGCTGTCGACCTCACTAGGACACTGCGAGGTTCAAAGGTCCAGTCTGGCAGGTTGGGCCCTGTTGGGCATGGAAATGCCGATCTCTACAGATCGGGCTCTACTGCCCGTTTGGGCCATGCCTTCCACCTTTCACTGATCCCGAGTCGGACGCTCTTGCTTGTTCGGGCCGTGTATAAAGATGCAACGCGCTCAAACAGCTAGCGGGAGATTGGTAAATACCGCCCCAGGTTATCATTTGTCCCGCATTTCGCAAAGCATATGAACGATACTTGTTTTGATGGCAACGTCCATTTCGGGCGCCGTTCTACTTTTCTGGCACCAGACCAGCTGAGTTTTGGAAAAAAATTCTAAATAGGTTCTCTCATTTTGCTGGTGTTTGAAAACTCTACGAATACATGGAACGAATCAATGTCTTAAAATAAAAAAGTAGCTCACCGGAGCTTTCTTGTCAAGTCTTTGATATCCGTCATGAGTTGATCTACAGGTTTGCTTTACCCGTACCTGCAAGCAACGATGATGGATTTTGATAACAAAAAATATTTAGTACTCAATTCTCGTGCAATAAATAGAAACTCTTAAATCCGCAGCTACAAACTTGCTATTGATAGGTAGACAAAACAGAATAGATGGTTTGCAAGCTTCAAAAAAAACGGAGAAAAAAAGAAAAGAAAAAAGTTTATTCCAATGATTTCTCATAAATGCTACAGTAACCTCATATTCACTAGCATTTAAGAGTTCGTACTATTTTACTCTTTCTACCACTTCCCACACCCCTTCCCTGATTTCCCCTCCATTACGAGTGAAAGGAATTTGTTTGCAACAAATTTAATCAGATAAATGTTTTACAATCCCAACTCGGGAAGTTCAAAGAAGATGAAGGTCAACCAGCTTGATTGTGAGATAACACTAGTTTGATTTATGGGTAGCGGTGAAATGTACCCAGCCGAATGCAACACAGAGAAGGTCGAAAATCTTGAAATCGATTAGTTTCAACATTTGCACACAAAAAGCTACGAGGGTTTTTTGAAGTTTTTTTGCCATTTTTGCATGGAAACATTTTTAAAATGCTGCACAACAACTTTCGAAATATTACGTGATTCAGACAATTATGCAAAGACAGAATGAAACAAGGAAAAAAAGTTGGAATTGAATAAAAGCTGTAAGAAAAAAAAACTATGTAACTGATGACGACTGTTTTTGTCGACAAACAAATCTACGCTCACACATATCCGAATTCTGTATCTAGGCCGACAATGGGGTAATGAACAGATGTAGAATGACGATACGTTAGGGACAGACGGACACACAATTGTGTCATTTATAGAAGATTTTTGCTGCAGATATCGAGCATGTATTACGTCATCATTTTTGTTGAGTTGGATTAGCCCAAAACTTGAAAAGATTTTCAGCTTAGCATCGAAAAAACTGATCGAACTTCAAGATATTCGAAAAGTCCGAACAATCTTGGGCGATTCTGATTTTTAGAAAGATTTGGAGGAAGGAAGGAAGAAGGATAAATTACTGGCACAACGTAGAGACAATTCCAAAATAATCAAGCGAACAGATAAATATTGCAATAACGTCTACAGCAGTTTCCATTGGTGGAAACCTAAGGCAAAATCCTTTTTCGATATTACAAAAAGAGTGAGGAAGATTGCTGCATCAAACACGGCCACCTCTTAATTCGGGAATTATGATAGCCCTTCCTGCGTCCATTTGAGAAAAATTGCCTAACACATATGGAAAAAGTGAGGGTAAATGAACATGCTGATTACAAATACAATGTTGTTTCTGATAGATTACCTTTATCAGTTTCATCGATTTTTGCAAACTCTTCAAGCTAAGGAGCTGGGAGTTGGTACACGAGGGGGGGGGGGGAGGACTATATGTCTCTGAATGTGGGAGAATCCCGCGGACTTTTTGCAAAGACGCGCCTCGGTGCATGTGCAAGCGTGCTTGTTGCAAATAACCGCGCCCCGCCCCCACCCCTTTCGGCGACAACATATAGTCCTCTACTCGGAGGTAGTGAGCATGATTTACAAAAACACAGGGAGGGAGGGTGATGGCTTACATTGTGACAGGGACAGGGAAATTGCGATAAGTTTGTGATTCATAACGTCATACTTGAGCACATCAAGTGGTTGAAAGAATGGTTCACTACTTGTGAGTTATCATTTTTGGAATGAATGAGAAAAACAGAATGCAAGATTACTCTTTGAATTTTCCCATCGCGACGTTTTGCGGAAAAAACCTTGCATTCTCGTGACTTGAAAAAACTCAAATTAGTAAGTTTTAGTTTTTTAATGTGCGCATCATAATGGTTCGATAAACATGAAAATCTTTAAAAAAACCTTTTTGGGGGATTTTAGCAAGTCGTAAAAAGCACGACGAAGCTGTCGTAACTGTATAACTTTCCCAGGAGATTTTTTTCAAATTTTTCAATCTCAGTCTTAGAGTGCTCACATCGCGAGAATTGACAGCATGAAAATTTCAAGAAATCTTTTCCAACGGGGTTTCTTTCAAACTGCGAAAAACTGCATCACTGCTGTGCTTTTCATGCAGTATCAGATGAATGATGTTACAAACTGGCTGCTGGGAACCAGCACCTACGCACGCTCCAGTAATGGCACCACATTGGGCGATGCTGCTGCGTTGCGTAAGGCGCCGGATGTACTGTGTGCCATTTTGCCACTGCGCGTCTTGTCAATGCACCAGTTGCTCATTTCGTAAACGCATCTTGAACAGCAAAGTATGTCAAAGAATTCTTACGCGTTATGCAACTCAAATTTGCAGGGAACAGAATTGTAAGTCTGGCAAGTCTCCAAATCGCGGAGGATCGGAATCGTGCACGGTGTGCCCATAACATTAGGAAAACCAAAACAGACTTATCATTCATTCTACGACTAGGAGACGCAAGACCGCATTGCACACCTTGTATAAACAAGCCTAATCGTGTACTTAGCAGGTTTATACTTGTTATTTATCTCGTTCAAGTTTGTTCACTCTTTGAGAACAGGGAAGAAGGAAGAACAAACTCAAACTTGTTAATACAATGTCCGCGATGCGGTCTCGCGTCTCCTAGTCGTAGAATAGATTATACTTGATACTTGATATCAATATTTTTTGGTAATTTACCTTAGCTAGAAATATAATATTAGCTAAGCAACCAAGTAAGTCAGCTTTTCGAAAACTTTGTAGAAATAATACAAAGCAAATGAATTTCGATTACGAATTCGAATATCAAATTATCGGTCAAAAGGAATATAATAAGAGATCTTGTGACGCATGATAAGATGTGGAGAAAATGCACTATTTGCATAAAATTGCTGGAACATGTATTTCCAGATGGAGTTTTAGTATGACTAACCATATGATGAGATCATCGCCAAGCACATCATAGATTAAGAATGCTTTTTCACTTTTACCATTCGCATTTGACGTCGTACCTGTAGGAGTCATTCAGTCTAAACTTTTTTCAAGTTGCAAGTGACACACTCTAGCAGACTCAATTTTTTGAAAGTAAACAAACAAGAAGTAACCGTTATGGAATGATTCATGATTTTGAAAGTTGTCTTGCATAAGCAATCGTCATACATTCCTACAGCAATGGCGGTCGCAGGATCTCCTCGGGGAGTGGGGGGGGGGGAGGAGCAAAAACTTTTTTAATTGAAGGTGCGCGAAGCTAGCCAAATTTTTAGCCAAAAAATTCTTGTGGCGGTTCTCAAGATTTCTGTGGGTCCATAAACTCTAAAAACCTATTGGAGCGTGGCGACAGCCACGTCCTCGGAAAATTTTTTTACAAGGCTAATTTAGATTTGTAAATAGTTCAAAAAGATTTTAATCATTTACAAGAATAAACAGTCCTTTGCACATTTTTAAGCCATGTAAGTAAAATTTCAAAAATTTTGCGACTCATTCTTGGGGGAGGGAGGGGGGGGGGGGCTCGGAGCGCCACTGTCTCAGCAGTGAACGTAAGTTTCAAATCTGCTTTTTCTGGGTTGTTGATTTGCGTGCTCGAACAAAATACTCCTCATTAGGAGAAAAATATTAACTTTGTGCACCACTGTTCGCGGTTTAGCGAATGTACCGAATTCATCGTTCTGGATCAATTTACTGATTTTTCAAGCTCTGGGATGAAGTTTGATACGTAGAGCTAAGAGAGCTATCAAGCAACAGTAATTTGAAAGATTATTTAAAGTTTTTATGTACCCGATTTCCGCCAAAGCTCAAGTAATGCTAAACAAGCAGAAAAAGCTTAATGAGAGAAAGTGGTTAGTAGAAGAAAATTTTCCGATTCTGATATAAGTAGCAATCTTGGGATTAAATGAAAAAATATTCTAAAAAAAGACTATGAACGAGCTTGTCAAAGATATGACCCGGTAATTCAAGGATCTGTGAAAGACAAAATCAACGTTTTTTTTTTGACATATGCACAACAGAGAGAGAGAAGGTTGGAATTATCGTCCCCTCCACAGCTCGTGCTACCCTTGGTCTGCGTCTCAGACCTGCCACGTGTGGCTAACATGTTGGCAACGTGGCAACAACATGTTTGCAACATGCCCCAACATGTTGGCAGAATATTTTGGCTACGCCAATATGTTGCTGCATGTTGCCAACGTGTTGCTGCCAACGTTGCCAATGTGTTAGTCACCCGTGGCACGTCCGCGACGCCACAAGGGTAGCACGAGCTGTGGAGGGGACGGTACCTGCTCCTCTCACTATTACTATCTATCCCCTTGATAAACTCCCCCCTCCCCATCTGCTGGAAGAAAAATTCGAAATAAATAGAACAGAATGTGTAGGGTTTTTGGTGAATATCAGGTTGTCCTATAAGTTCCGTCCGTTATGATTTTCAGTCGCAATAAAACATGAGCTTCATGTTCTAGATAGGTTTTAAAGTACCTTTTGATAGAGCAAAGCAATCTCTACAAGATGGCTATCTTGTTTTTGCAACAGCTCTGATACATCTCGAGTCTCAAGCCGAAAACTAAAAAGATTCAACTGGCCGCAAAATCGAGAAAAATCTTAACTCCATTCAAAGAAGTCCTACAAAAAGTTTAACTTGCTCGCGTAAACCTTATCCATACAAGACATTTATATATGCCGTTGCCATATTTCTTCTACGTTAGAAATAAAGAAAACGAAGATTTTTATGCTTTTGCCGAAGTGATGCTGTGTCGTCCCTGCATAGACATTTGTATACTACTAGCCTGTAAAAGGATAAATGTAAATTTTAGCTCTCTACAGCACTAGTTTTCGAGAAACATGGATTCTAGCGTAAGACACCCAAGAAGGCAAGGTATATCTTATCTTATATATAAAGCTGAATGTCTGTTTGTCTGTCTGTATGTCTGTATGTCTGTCTGTATGTTCCGAATAGAAAATTCCATTTCTGAACCGATCGGGACCAAACTTGGCACACATACACTTCGGGCCCCGGCGGGTGTCATAGGCTACTTTTCGTCATCGATCGATATCGATTCTATCGATTTTTATCGATTTT